ATTTCTAAATGTGTTTGTTAGCTTTTTCTCTCATTATACAAACTCACTTTTTTATGTTTATTTCTTTTAGACAAAAAAAAATTACATATATATATATCTTTTAGCAATACGCGTAGCACAGATGCGCACTTCACTTTAGTTTTGTTTTTCTCTTTAGTACGAAAAGTATTGTAGGCACAAAAAAAAACATAGTAGAAAAAAACCAAGTATCAAAGTAGCGACTGTTCTCAGTCGATCAAAAGAAGAAAAAAAACATGAGCCAAAAAAAAAGAATCTTTATATCAATGACATATAAAAAAATTGATCTTATTACTACTCATGCTCACACAGAAATACACCGGAAGTCTTTTTGTCTCTCTTTTTCTTTTTGCATATGATGTGTAGGAATTAATCAGCTCCGACTAATGTCGATTGTGATGATGATGATGATGATTGATTATGAATATCGTTGAATTCTATAACTTCATTTGTCGATGTATTATTATGAATATTTTTATTTAATATTGTTGTTTGTTGAAGAAGAGATTGAGCTTGCTCTAAAGTATATTGTGCACTACGTGTACGTTGAAATGAACGTATATCAGTATCTTCGTTGGATATATTGTGTGCTGGTGACCATTGCCATGATGTTTGCATTTGTTGTTTTAACCAGTTAATAGCTGCTTCCCATTGAATAGCAGTTGAAGAAAAATAATCCTTACAAGCATCACTTCTACAAAAAACCAAAGAATTTCTTTTTTTCTTTTTACATGAAATATTAAATAATAATGCAGAAAAAAAGAGAAATATGAGTTTTTAAACGTACTGATTCGCTAGAGTAATAAGATATTTGACTGTTTGATAAGCTCGTCGTTGTTCTGTATCAATACTGGTTCGAATAAGTGAATAAAGTCCATTGAAATTTTGATTATTATCACTACTAGAAGATTCATTAATACCTTCAAATGCTAATTGAAGACGTTTCATTTGAAATGAATCTTCAATTAACTAAAATAAATAATAGAATTTTGATTTTAAATCAATTTCAATACATATTATAGTCTAGTACGATTCAAAAAAATGAACAGTTATTTCTAATGACATGAGCAGTGCTCAGTGAAATACAACTGATCAATTAAAGTTTTATTACTATATCAAGCTTGACCAGTATGAACTTTCAGGCTGTATTAGAAGAAAATTAAAGTTTAGAAAGATAGCTTTGTATTTGAAAAATTAATTTGCATTAATTTTGAGAAAATAAATAGTATGGTAATAGAATTTCTAGTCTCCGACAACACAAATTTTGTTTTGATGATAAGACTTGTCAAAATTTGATGAAAATTCTCTTCTTTATTTGTCAAAAGAATGATTGATTTTTAGTTAAAAAGTGATATTGATTGGAACAGGATAACTTCTGTTAATAATTTGCCTTCATAATCGTCCTATATGCCGCTATTCTCTGAACGTTGTATTATTGGATGCTTGTGTTCATATTTAAAGCATTGTGAAAGTCACTTTTTTTCTCNGGGATGCAGGAACGAAAAAATGACCTGAAGTCTTTCTCCTCGCAAAACAGCCATAATTCATTTTTTATAGTTGAATTGTTTTTACAATAAATAAGACCAATTTGGGATCTATGAATTTTTCTATTCAACAATTATTGTTCAAAAAAATGAGGATTCTTCTGAAGAGTCACTTACCCGAGAAAAAAAGTGACTTTCACAATGCTTTAAATATGAACACAAGCATCCAATAATACAACGTTCAGAGAATAGCGGCAGGGTGTGTATATTACTTATTCGTTATTTTCATCGAGATGATTAACTTGTAATACAACTGACTATTTAAAAATTCTCATATAAAATGATCATTCATTATACAGAGAAGTTATAATCATCAGTGCAATAAACTTCAGCTATGTTTTATAAATAACTCATAAGAGAATTTTAATAGTAATTTTTAAGTGCAATACAAACAGCTGGAGTGAAATTAATTGTAGAACAAGGAGTAACTATTAGATGTATTCAAAGCAAGAAAAATGTTCAAATGCATCTTACTCATATAATGAAAAATGATAAAGTGTATTTAAATTTGAATATAAAAAAATCAATAGTATCGAATGATGTATGTGACCAAGGTATATAAGTGCATATCTGCTATATACAGCGTCTAGTATTTGTCAATTTGAGATTGCCTGCTGTTTTAAAAGTGGTCTAATACCAAAAAGAGAAGCGCTTGCCTGTATAGATATCTTTTGAAAAAATCGACTAAATTCATTTGGGTAACTTTCATACACGTTTGAACATAAGTTACATTTAAATGCCGTTATTTCAACACGGCTAAAATCCGATTCATGGTCATATGAGCATTTTTTGTTGTACAGCTGAAAAGTTCGTAAGATCTCTGAAACTGACTGGAGTGGGGAACAATATCCTATATTTTTCTTCAATAATATTTTCTTCCAGTGACTCTACGAAATTAAATACTAATAATATTCTACATGTATGAATCAATAAAATTATATCATAAGAGTTCTATATACTTATTCTGAACATCATAAACCCATATTTTCTACTGCTAACAAGTTGCTAAGAGTTTTCTTTCTGCAATACATTATATTTTCTTAACAAAAAAGTAATTTGTTAATTTCAAAAATTAAATCACAAATTAAAATCAAACTCTAGTCTTACGAAGAAAGATCTCTAAATGTGTATCTCTATGCTCCATCGAACCTATGTCAGTATGGAAAGCTCGATGAACTGCTTACAATGGGACAGAGCATATTTCCCCATAGACTGCTTCTTTGAGGAGTTAGATCGAGTACAGATCTGAAATTATTCTGTTAACCGAGGCCTAAGCTCGGGTCCTACCATCGTTCATTAAACCGTGTTCGGACCCGAAAATTTTGAATCCGATCGGCTCTACTATAGGAAGAATACACTATGCCATTGTGATCAGCTTATTGAACTCTATAAACTGGCATAAAGTTGATTGAAAACTGTAACTTACATTTGGAAATGTTTCCTCGTTAGAGATTTATATTGATAACAAAATGAAAATTCTCAATTAACTTACTAATATACCACTTAATAATTTAAATAATGATTTTAAATCATTTGTGTGAGCTTGTACAATTGATTGTAAAATAATTCGAATAAATTGTTCAGAAAATTTTTCATTATTTTTTGCTAAGATTTCCATTAATTGTAAAGTATATATTAATTTTGTTGATGATACTTCTTGAAAAGCATAACATATTTCTTTTAAATATCTATTTGACCATTGTCCAGTAAAATAAATATCCATTTGTTTAATTATTTCAAAATATTTTTTACGATTATTTTCACTTATTGAATAACAAAATAAAGCTAAAATTGATATTATTTCATGTATAATACCAAATTCTTTCGCTTGTTCACAATGCCATCTTCGATTATCAATATTTTCACCTAATAAAAAATTTATTAAACGCATAAATGTATTTAATTTTAATAAATATTCAATAGATATATTATTCATCTTAGCATATGTATAAATTAATTGAAAATAAACTTGTGAATGTTTAACTTGTTCAACAACAGATTTATCTAATAAAATAATTAATTGTTCAATAAATAATTCAATAGATTTTCTAATATTATGCATATAACTTGATTTTAAAATATATTCACATATTTGTCCAAATGTTTGTCTTATATCATCAATAGGACAATCAAGTAAATATAATTTTATAATATCATCATTTTTTTCAAATAATAATTGATAAAAAATAGAACATGATAAAGAATTTTTTGAAAATAAATCTTCTAATAATTCTATCCATTGTTGTAAATTATCTTTACGTAAACGACGATGTGTTCGTAAATGTGTACTAATTAAAAAATTTAATGCTAATTTTGTACATAATTCATATGATAATAAATTATTATTATTGTTATTATTAGATGTAATATTATTTAATTCTATATAATCATCTAAACATATACTTGATAATTTATGTATAAATTGAAAATAATCATCACAATATGTATCGCGATTTTTTAAAAATTCTAAATTTTCATCTTTAACACAAGTAAGAACATGTGATGATATTAATGGTTTTTTTATTTTAAATAAATCATTATGTTCACTTTGAACAACTAAATCAGCTAATTGTGATAATGAATCACGTTGATTTGAACGATTTAAACGTGTATTACGTGTTGTTAAACGATTTGTATTTGGTGATGATGGTATTGATGGTGGTGGAAGTAATTTTAATGGTTCAATACATTGATAAATAAGCATATATGCATTCCAAAAACGTATACGTTCTTCATTTGTATTATTGTTATTATCTTTTTGAGCACGAAATGTTCCACCAAAACATTCTTCTTCAAGCATTTGTTCAGTTAATTGAATTTCTTCAACTGTTGTATCATTAAAACGATACCATTGATTTGTATTATNACCTTGATAGTTAGCAGAAGCATGGGATCGAAGTTTTCGTAATATGTATCGTGGTGCTATCTGGGACACGAGGTCTACCCATCGGAATTTCAAATCGACCCCTCGATTTGCCATTTTCCGATGGGTCGAGGGCTCGGCCCCCCCCATCTTAGAAGACATCGACAGTGGAAAACCGAGGGGTCGAAATACCTATCGGATGGCCGGTTGGGGATGTTCTCCAATCAATATTGTATTTCTCTTTTTTCTTAACACTTTTATTATGTAAATTCGTAACTTAAGATATGCTATTAGATTGTCTATTATCATTAATAAAATATACAACAAATTAATTATTACGAAATTAGATCTTACTAATATCTGTTTAATGTTTTTCTGATGATAAGAATAAATGGAAAAAAAATTTAATGAAAAATATGATTTTAAATATTTCAATCTTTCGTTATGTTCTTATTTATTAGTACTTAGACGCAGCTATTAATCATAAGTTTGATGAATATTTAAGATTTAAATATTATTTAAACTGTCTAAAAGGAAATCTTGCTTTATAAATAGATATAAAGTAAACGTTAATTTTAGTTACCTATTGTTGTTGATGATGAATTACATCCATTTGTATTAGTAGTAACTACATCATCATGTTCAATAAAACTTTCACGTTTATTAACACCTTCTACTGTATATGGTTCCATATTGAGTATGAATGGAAATTGAAAATAATCATCAAATTTTAATGCACGATTATTTTCCCAATCGAAACCAAAACGTTTCATTTGTATACATAATAATGGTGGTAATTTTTTAATACATAATCGTTTTATTGTTGTTCGTTTTTCTTGACATTTAGCACAAAAATACTATTACAAGAAAAAAAAAAGATGTTTTCTTTTTTTCCTAATATTTATAGAGAAAAGAAATTTTTAACTTACAGCATTATTTCCATCAAGTAATTCACCTTTAACAAATTGATTTAATGATTCATTAAGTGAATCAACTTTAACAGCAACATTTAATGCCATAAATTTTTCTTCACCTTCATAACGATGATTACAACCATTTGTACATATCATTTGATTACAAAATATTCCTTCAAATTGTTTATGAAATATTTCTTCTTGTTTTATACTTTTTAAATATTCATCAATTTGATCAGTCATTGCTGTAAAAAAATCAAATGCATCTTGTTGTTCACGTATATTTATTTCTTGACCCCATAGACGAAATACTTTCCATAATGATTCAGGTGAATAATATTGCATTTTACTTTCCATTAAATGACCAAAAACTTGTTGAACTTGATAAAATAAACTTGAATCTCCAGTTTTATTTGCTCCATTTATATGTTCACCATCATCATGTACACTTAATATGTGTTCTGATATTTGAGGTAACATATACAATTGTTGAAGAATAGAATTCATATAACAAGTTGCACCACCTAAACAAAAGAAAAGTATTCATATCCTTGAAGTATAAACGAAATAAATAAATATGATGAGACAAACCGAATTAGAGAACGTCTTACAGAAGACATTAAGAAGTATGAAGTTCGAAGAAAATGAATGATAGCAATCCATCGAATTGGTTCAGAATCTGAACCCGGTTCGATCGGAAAATTTTCAATCCGATGGACTATAATCATCTGGAAAATGTGTAGGATGCGCCAGTCATTTAATCCAAAAACCGCAAAAAAAGTATTTCGTGTCGTGGAGACGACAATACAATTCCGATTAGAAAATTTCATTGAGAGTATTTAACTACAGTTCGACCGAGCCTCAAAAACTTTCAATAAACCAGGTATCGGTTTGACTGGAAAATTTTGAACTCAACCGACACTATTTCTTCCTGCTTAAAATTTATTATTATTATTTAAATAGATAATGATCTAAAAGGAGTGTTGAAGTACATAGGGTAGAAACTTGCACGGACTCCCACAGACCGTGACAGTCACGTGAGAAATGGCTCATCATAGATGTGACAGATGTTTTAACGATAACACATTACATATGTGACAGACATAACCATAGAAGATACTGAAGAAACGTGTCCCAAAATAGATAGAATAAGATAATTGCCTTGTGATTGGCAATAGCAGTTACATCGTTTTTTACAGTTTAATCCCTCAGGAGTTGTGCTAATAGCTTTTTAGTTTAGAATAAGTGTGGATAAATTTAGACTGTGTAAATTCCTAACTTTGTGCTTTTAAAACTTTTCTGAAAAGAAGACTAGATACTAAGTTTCTATCCGCAATTGTTTCTCTCTAAAGAAAACCTTATTTTTATGAATATCTAGTACATTCCTTAGTCTTCAACTGAACTGCATGATGCTGAACTCTATGTTTTAAGGAAAGTACACACTTGTAAATATTACGAAGTTTATTGACTATTCTTAGAACTAACGCTTTGTATGAGGATTAATAAGTTAAATTTCAATCTCCCGTTTATTACCTCAATGGTGTCAAGCTAAAAAGAACGTTACAAAAATCGTTGAAAGATCTAAAATTGAAACATTTTCTGGTAAACATTCGACATCGGTCTATTATCGACATATAAAGACCCTGAGAATTAGTACTTTGATAATTTTCATAATTTGACTGAAAAAAAAATACGCATCAACCACATGAACTTTCTCTTAATGTACCAAGTAGAATTTCAAATGTATTTTTCTTTTTCTTAACAAATCAAAAAACTGTACATACCATTAAAAAGACCAACGAATCCACATGATGCACGCGGATTAACTTGTGGCATAAACTAGAACATACATAATTAGTTAATTTGAATTTATTTTTGAAAAATATCAAAATAAAAAAAAAACAACTTACTTCCCATTCACTTTGTTTTTCAAGTATAGGTCTATGATGAAGATTAATAAGATCATCAACAACAATTATTAAATTTGTTTGACAATGTCGAACTAATTCTACAAGTACATCATATGCTGCAAGACGACTTTCACTTGTTGAACATTTTGGTTCAAATATCGAATCATCATTTAAATCATTTTCCTTATTTGTTGATACAATTGGTAATGACATATGTTTTGATGCTGGAAATAAAAATTGATCAATAAGTAAACGAATAAAATCAATTCCAATTTTATTTTTATTTATATTTTCACATGTTAATAATGTACGAACAAATTTTAAATGACCCATAAATAATATATTATCAATTGTACGTAACTCATTTGATGTTGATGATACAGTATATGTTGATAACCATAAAAATTCATCTGACAATAATTTTTTAGCATTAATACCAAGTAGATCTTGTTTTTCTTTTGTTAAATTTTCCATTAATTGACAACGTAAATCAAAATATTCCGTTGATTGTGCGAGTAATTTTTGATTTGAATTACGTGTACCAGCACATGATGATGACCATAAAGGTAAACGAGCTTTTATTAATATTTGTTGAATTATTAAACGTATATCACATACTGATGTTTCAATTTTACATAAACTAATTACATTACGTAATGCACATTGACGAACTTCACGAGATGTTGTACCAATTAAAATTTCCAAAAGAAAATCAGCGAAAAATGGTTGAACAAGAAAAGTAGCTATGAAAGAAAAAAAAAGCGATTCTAAATAAAATATAAACAAAAAAACTTTCTGAATATATCTATATCTGATCAAAAATTTGTTTATTAGTTTCGATTCATACTTACGACACAACCATTTCAAGTAATAAATTATCTTCCAATGTGGATCCTATGCATAGAGTAGTTTCTAGTGGAAAATGGAAAGTTCCAAAAGGATAAGTACCCTTACATTTTGGCCTTTCCTTCTGGATTATGACTGTTTTAATGAAGTTTTAGGCTACTGTATAATAAGCGCCAATCGATCGAATGAGAGTATTTCGACCTGAAATTCTGCCTGCAGATAAGTCTAGTTGGGATTAGAATGCCTTGAAAGTTTCAACTAAAAAAAAGTATGTTTTCTTCGTAAGAAATTAAGTTTCCAAAAAACTTGAAATTCTACAAACTTTTTCAGAATATGAATAGCTTTTGGAAATTCAAGATCTTACAAACGAAGCATTCATTTAAGCTGAAATTTTTCAAGAGATTATTCGTGGACAGAAATTCAAGTCAAAATACTATCATTCTGTTTATTGATACCTATTGTGTCCTAACCTGAAATTTCGACAAAATGTCTATTATTATACAGGGAATGTTTAAAGGCACTTATCTTTTCGGAACTTTTCATATCTCACTAGCGTCTATCTTATACATAGAGTTCGAAGAGAAAAACGATTTATCACTTGGAAGGACTCCCTGGTTTAATACTCTTAAAATAATCTTCTAGTAGAATGAATTAGATAGATCTTCAAAAATACATCAAGAAATTTGTTACTTATATAACAAAAACGTCTTTTTTCATACATCAACATGAGTACAGACGAATAAGCTAAACTAATTCAAAAAAAAGACACGGACGATGCTATTAGTAATTAGATTTGTGCAGAGCAAACTTTTTTTCGTACTTTGAACCCTGGCTGAAAGAAATTTTCTAAACCTTTTACCTTGCTCTATATTGTGGGGTAGGCTAAGTGACTCTGTACGTTTCTATTAGTAAAGCAAGAGAGAATATACTATTTTCCTGATTTTTAATGACTTCTCTGATTGTTGATGATTTCAGAACTCAAGCTGGAGTTTGGGTGCAGTACATGCCTACTCGTAAATACTTCATTTTATTCAAAGTCAACTGAAATAGTCAAATTTACCAATAAATTCAGGCCGTTTTTCAAAGCAAAATATAATAATTTCAATAATTTTCTCTGCTATTTCACTATCCAATGGTGAAATTGAATCTTTTTTCACACATATACCAAATTGTACAGTTTTTTGTATATCATTATTTATTGATAATTCATTTGATAAAGAACTTTTACTACTATTTCGACTAAAAACATTGGCATTTATTTGTTGTAATAATGCATGACGATCTAATTTGACTTGTTCTTTTATAGTTAAATTTTGTCCATGTAATTTAATATTACCAGCTGCAGCTGCCCAACATAAAAATATCAATTGTTTTATTTGTTCAACAAATTCTTCAAATTGTAAATGCTCAACAGTTGCTTGAAAATCACCATCATTTACGTCATTAATATTATCATCGATTATTTGTGATATTTGTAATAAGGGTGATGATGATGGTGAAATAATATCATTTTGCTGTTTACTACCACAAACAAATAATTGTATAAGTTGTAAAATAAGTCTTGTCATTTCTTGACATAATGAATATTGATATTCATCATGAATTAAATTATTTAATGAATTAAGTAATCGAAATAAAAATCCAATACCTGATTGTTCAATAAAATCTTGTCGAAATAATTTTGAACTTTGTTCTATACCATTATTTGTTGATAAAGGTAATATTTTGCTTGATAAAATTTCAAGATTATATAATAATTGTATAAGACTACAATTATTTATATCAAATACATAATCAATAGCTTGTCGAGAATTTATTTGATTATTATTGTTATTATTATTCAAATTTTCTGTTGATTGTCGTCGTTCAATTGTACATATATTTGCTGCTCGTATTGATATAAGATCAAGATAATCATGTATGCGAATATCAGATGGCATTAAATAAAGAAGATTTCTTATACGTTTATGAATATTTTTATTACTTAAATATGACAATTTATAAAGTATATCATAGATTTTTGAATTTTCTGCCATTATATTTGATGGTGTTAAACGTGTTATATCATCATTTGTATTCATATTACTATTATTAGATGTTGTCGTTAACATGGATGAATTATTTAATTTAATACGTATTGGTTCACTATTAATGGATTTTATTGATTGATTATATGTACTACCTAAAATTTTTACATAAATTGTTGTACCAGGTTTTATATGAAGTTGATATAGATATTTTGAATTTAATGATGAACTAAGAACATTATTATTTGATTGATTATTAGATGAAGATGATAATGGAATAGTATTATAATTATTATTTATTCCTAAATGATCATATGATTGTGGTAATGGATGAGTATTTTGTATTGATATATGTATATCGTGTGACGATACTTTATAAAATTGTCCAAGACATATACGTAACATTTCAAGTGTATCATTTGAATGAACAGTTACAATATCATATGAAGAATGTGTTTTACCTATTTCACCAAGAACTATTTTTATTTGATATTCTAAACCATGAAATGATGTTATATGTGCTGTTGGTGAATGTTCAAATTCAACTATATGTATATATTCTTCTATTATCATTAAAAGACGTTCTATTTTTTGTAACCATAATGTATGATTAGTTTCAATTGATGTCGATGTATTACATGTTGTTGTTGTTGTTGTTGTTGTTATTAATTGTTCACCATAAGTTTTTAAAGATTTATAAAATTGTTCAATTTCTTTTGTTAATGATGTTGATGGTGGTATAGCTGTAATAAGTAAATAACTTAAACGTTTATAAACTTCTTTAAGAAAATGTCCATGTAGTATTTGTGGTGTTAAACGACGTGTACGATTTGGTTGTTTTAAATAATATAAATCAAGTAAAAAACGTGTTGCATCATTAGCTATATCATCATCACCAACACATAAGATTATATTCCATAATTCATCTACACCACGATATTCTAACATTTCATTCTATTGAAAAAAGAAAGATATTTTATATTTGTAAGATAGTTTTTTTTTCTCTTGCTTTCTACAAAACTGTACAATTTATAATTCCTGTGTTAATAACCGATATCATAGTTGTACTTAAGGAGCACAGAAAAAAAAATTGTCTAATATAATTTACAGTACGAAGATCTTGACACAAAATGCTCACCCATGTTTATGCTACAGTTAGTCAGAGGCAGAGGTTTTCGCTCTTTCCGAATAGGTACTCGGAATTTCCGACAAAGGTAAAATTGAACTACTAACATATCAGATGTTTTCAAATGATCGAAAATAGAAGCAGTATAGAATACTATTTTGATCAATATTATATTTCGATTAAAATCTATTAAATTCAAAATACAAAACAGTTTTGTAATGCACCCTACAATAAGTTGTGTCGCAGACCGTACCTTAAAGTCGATCGGGTCGAAAATTTTCGAACCCGGATTTGGTTAACACAAAAGAAATTTAGATCCGAGTTCGAACAAATCCAGAATCAACCCGACGGGCTATACTCTACTACGAAAATATGTCGACGTCTCTCTGCTAACTATTCATTATCTGTTTCGTTTTGCACATACAACTACATATAATCAACTTCATTCTAGATATGGAACTTATATATTTTCATGTCTTTTTTTCTAGATTATTTCTCGGTCAGCTACTAGTCGAGAACACGCTGAGAAATCGATCGATAAGCGAGATCCAACAAACTCGAGACAGTGGAATATGAAGATTTGATTGCTTTCAGTTTGAAGAATAGATATTACTAATTCGAATTAAATTAAAATAATAGTAATGATTCGCTTTTGCAAAAAAAAATAAAAAATGCGCTGAAGACTAGATTCAAAGCACATTTTCAAAATGTGTTATAACGAACTTCTTGATGTCTCGTAAATTGTGTTACAAAGTGCGGCATATGCAATACATATTATTGTTATGTGTGGTTCAGGTTTGTAGAGCAAACCTTGTTCTACTAAATGTCCTATTTACTTTTCTGTTTTATCTTGAATGGTAGACTTATTTTTCAAAAATCGATTTTCTTTTTTACCGATCTCAATTTCCATAGAAACTAACTCTTAGATAAAAACGTTCAGATGAGATNGATCTGGAAAAAAAACAAGATCTGTTAACTTTTCTATAAGAGATACATTTTCTTTATCTTGATTGTTAAATTGAAACAAGATATTCTATTCAAAAAAAAAAAAAGATTTAATCATTAATGCAGTTTAATTAAAGTTGAATTATTAAAGTGAAATATTGATATGTCTTGATTGGTTAAATTTAAAACCAATCGAATAGATATTTTATCTATAGACAAAAGAATAATGGATTGGATTTTTAACTTTTCTTTCTTTTTTTTTCTTCCTTTCTTTCTTTCGTTTCGTTCTATTTGATACTGTTGATTTAAAGACCAGATCAATTTACATAAGAATTCAACAAAATGCATATTATATATGCATATAAATGTGTTTAAAGAAAAGGCTAGTAAAATCGTTTTATTTCTTCGCTTTTTTATTCTTCCGCTTGTAGATGAAACCTTGTATTGTCACATATATATGCACGTAAAAAGAGCTGAAGAAAAAGACAAATTTCATGAAGTATGTTAATATAAACGAGAACGATGTTATAAGAAATGTTAAAGTCAATTTTGATTGTTTCTGTCTTCGTTTTTTTCTTGTTTGATAGAAGATATCGATTGGACCCAGGCGTCCTGCTTGTGTCCTTTATTTAGCGCGTATCTCGAGCGTGTAATTCGATCGTTTATTGTCTAAATACGATGCACACATAAACTTATGCAACATAAGCAGAAAAACGTTAATGGTTCAGAGTAGATGCGTATGAGGGAGTGTGAGTATGTGCTTTTCGATTGATGATGATGATGATGACATACAACTAATCAAATCGGATGTTTCTTTTTTTTTCTCTTTCGTTAACTATCATCAACAGCTTGTCATCAATTTGTGTCCGTTTACATACAGTTTTACAATCATAAATCTTGCAAGTTATTTGTAAGTGACTTCTTGAATTAATTCGAGTTTTCAACCGAATCTTGTCGAACTCCATTAATTCTATTCTATTCAATAAACATAATTCATTTGATATAAACTTGATTAAATAATGAACAACAGAATAAAAGTGAAGTTAGATCTCAATGAAAGGTTGAGTCCTTGAATTGAAAGCGCAATATTCTCTTCATCCAGGTCAGTAGCTCTTTAAAAGGGCACATTGAAGTGTATAATAACGTGAACAGGGACAATAGATGATAGTGTCAAATCTAGTACGGACTCGTCAAAATGAGAATTTATTGGTCTCATGTTGCAAGAACATACATCTTCCTTCCTTTTTTTTTTGACTACGCTTTATACTTTCATAACGCTCGTATTCTCTTTTTCTCTTTTTATTAAGCACAACTGGGCGTATTTTAACCGGTCAGTATCAACATCAGTAGGTTGACTTGTTTCATTATCCAGATCCATCCATCAACTGTGTGTGCTCGTTTTTCTTTTTCATCTTGTTCTTTTGTCTCTCTCTCTCTCTCCCTCTGTGTGTCTTTATGTGTGAGTGTATGTGGGTTTCGTTGCATTGAGGAATGGAAGTAAACGCATATACATGTAGAGACGACAAAAAAATCGAGACAGAAGAAAGAACGCTATTCTTTCAATGCTTGTTCTCTTCTTTTACCCTGGTAAGGGTGATGATGGTCATCTTTTTTTTCAAGTAGAATGAGAATAGAAAAGGAAAAAATCGCAGGAGAAATGTTCATGCCGTCTACATCTTACCCGACGTATGCATGCATACTCGTTTGCATCTCATAACAGCACCAGAGAAAAGAATGACAGTGAGAGAGAAAAATAGCATAAATAGCATTGAGAAAATACTGTCCGATCTTCATTGCATGTGTGTGCATGAACTGTGATCAGATATTCTTTATATATATATATCATCTACAACATTATTATACATTCTTTTATCGTTTTTGTCAATGAGAGATGCACCACAAAAATAAGATATGAATTGACGATTTTAGTATGCAAGCGATGGTAAATGTGCGTCTCTTCAAGTAATTTCAGGTACGTGACAAAACGTAATTTTTTTATGTTTTTCTTTTTTGAAAAATATTTCAAAAATTTTCTTCTCTTACTGTCGAGATGCATTTATATATTTAAAATATTGTTTGTTGTTGCTATCTATTTCATCTCGCGGATGTTATTAACTTTCTTTTTGGCACTTTTCATACACGCACATAATCGTGTTATCGTGTCACTCATCATCATTACAAAACTTTCTTTTTTTTTTTCAACTCGCATGTATGTAATGTCATTGACGTTCACTATTGTGCAATATGAGCGGTCAACAGTTTGTCATCATTTTCTTATTTCTGCTATTCTCTATTCCTTCAAATAAATAACAGACGGGACTCATCAGTAAAATTATAATGTTAAGCGCGCTTGCATTTGCGCGCGCGTACGGCTTGTAATCATCGATACCAATTACTGGTGGTTGAGCGCGAGAGAGCCATTAAGTGTCGTCTATAAGCCAACGGGTCTTTTTTTGTTGTGTGCGTGTTGCTTACATGGTCAAGATAGAAATCGATAAAAAATGATGATCGTAGATCATATAAAGAAGGAGCTGATTCAGTTTCTTTTTTTTTTCCATTCTCGTATTTCCAAGGTTGTTACTCGATGATTTGCTTTGGATAATTAGTTTCATTTTCATCTTTTCTTCAATAATAACCGAGTATGATTACCTACTACTTCCTCTAGTATTTAAAGGTCGATGATAATAGCAGACTATCTTTCATATATAATCAATTTCTCTTTTTTTTTTTTCTTTTTTTCTTCTAGCTTTGAACAAACATCCCTCGATCTTTTTCTTCTCTTTTTTTTTAAGCAAACGAATATTAATCATAGATATTTATACTTCTTGAAAAGAGATTTTGATTTCTTTTTCTTTTCTATTTTCATTTAAGATGAATTATGCATAATGATCTGATGTTATTCTATTCTTTATTTTTCTTATCTATAATAATAAGAATTATATGTGGACAACAAACAATAATTTATGTTAAACGTGGTGATATAGCTGAATTATGTGACAATCGTTCAACATTAATATATGCTTATGAATATCGAAGTTTTGATGGTAAAAAAAGTTTTATTGTTGAACCATCCAAAGATGATCGATATTCAAATCCATATCGTACAAGTTTACTACGAATAAATAATGCTAATGAAGATGATAGTGGATTATATAAATGTCCACAAGATGATATTGAATGGCAAAAACTTCAAGTTTATAGTAAGTTTAAGAAGAAAAAAAAAAACGAAAGAGCGTTAAATTGTAATTGTGTTGGTTTAATATGTTACATCATGAATTTGATAACATATCTTTTTCCTTTTTTTTTGATATTAAAAATAAAGCATATCTTGTTAGACACTCGATTTATTCTCAATCAAGCGATTGTATTCAGACAGTAGAGATGATTAGAACAAGATAAACTACTTTTGTACATTGTTATAAAAAAAAAGAAAAGAAAAAAGAGAAACAGACATTCATATCAATGATTAATGAAACTCTTAATTTACTTTATTGAAAAATGAAAACTATATTCTTATTTTGTTTAACTAGTTCCCATTCAACATATGTATTTAAATAATCTTCATGCATCATCTCGAATTTATAATAATGATTTATGTGGAATTAATAATAAAAATTGTTTAGTTATGGTTGAAGGTGAACCATTAGATATTGTTTGTGCTGCTGATGGTTATCCACGCCCAGCACTTGATGTATTATTAGATAAAAATGGTACAACACCAACAATAATGGCATTAGCAAGTGGCATACAACCACCAACATTTATTGATAATCAATTTAAACCAAGTGTTTATGAAGCGTATCGAATACCTAGTTTAACATCCTATGATAATGGACGAAATTTAACATGTCGTGTTGATATGAAACAAATTGATAAAAATCTTATTTTATCAATAACAAAACAACTTTATATTGAATGTAAAAAAAATTTTTATTTTTATTTTTATTTTTTATTTTTGAATATTTAGTTCGACCAACTGTGGCTGAAAAACTTAAAAAAATTTATTCTGGTATTAATCGTACACGTACAATAATTAATTGTACAGTTACACGTGCTAATCCAACATATATACAATATGCAATCAATGGTTTGTCATCATCTATTATTCATCGAACGTATGAAGATCAAAATAATTTGCATTATACATTTGATATAATGCCAACATCACTTGAACATTTTGGTTCATTTAATATAACAGCTAATAATAGTGTTGGTTTTGATACATGCACTTATGAATTAATTCATGGAGGTAGATATAGTCGTTTTTTTTCTTTTTCTAAAGTCTCTTATGAAATAAGATATGACAACTAATGAGTTTAATGGAAGAAAAAAAAAACTTATTTGTAAAAGTTCTTAAGTTATTATTTTTTTGAATTGTTTATGAAAGAATGATTTTTTGGATTTCAATGGTACTTATTCGATAATTAAACTTTTCTATTGTCGATTATTTCATGTAGCATACGGTTTCTTTCTTAGATACTTTATACGACATTATTTTTATGCAATCTAAATAGTTGAATATATACACGTATATAAAGAGAATAATTCATAAATAACTAGACGACAAAATAATAGAAATATCTCCGGTTTGCTTTAATCAATCGAACTAATTGTTTGTCTCGGTGATGAAGCACTCTTCAAGGTTTTTATTCATGAGAAAACTATGAAGTTGACACTGTGTGGAACTCTTACTCGTAGTCAAAAGTATTTCAGTCATTCTTAAGACTAGACATACGAAATTTTTTGACATATATACTATTGTTCTAATGTTGATTAGTAAGATCAGTTCGAACTCGTTCACTTGCGTGGAAGAAGAGTTATAATCTATGACAATCATGCTCATTGTGACACTTATAACTTAAGAAGGGTTGAAGCTTATGATTCGGTGAACTTCTTACTAGGTAAACCTTTAATACGGCTATTTACGCTATAAATTTTTTTTTCGAGCTTCATCGAAGCATTCAAAAGCTGCAAATTTTTTTCCATAATGATAGCTTGATTAGATCGTAAGCTCGTTTCATTCTTGATTTATAAAAGTACATTTCTACAGTAGTACATATGTTAAAAATTTTAGATGTATAGTCTTAAGGACGGCTGAAATCACAGAAAGATACCTTCAGGCAATGTTATGCTTCTTTAATGAGATCATTAATGTTAGTTCAGAGTAGTATTCATATATGGCTTGCTGGTGAATAAAAACATTGAAGAGTTCCCAATCATCGAGAAAAAAAAATCAGTCCGATTGATTAAAACATGTTGAAGAGATTCACTATTTTTATCGTCTCAGTATAGATGAATCACAGTGTATACTTTTATGTACATTGTTCTTATTGAATAAATATATTGTATCTTCTGAATTCCTATTTTAGTGATGACAATAATGTCATTTTTAATCAATGAAACTAATCGAACACGAAAGAATTTATCTTTTGTCAAATGATATTACAGATGAATTAGGAGTTTAGAGAACGCATGGAAAATTATCTTTATATGTGTGTGTGACAGCTAAAGCTTAAACCTTTGAGATTAGTTGTAGTTCAGTAAACTGATTTGAAACAATGACATAATGTATCAAGATATTTAACTTCATAACTAAACAATTTGTTTTTATCTACAGTAAAAGATACTTAAGTCAATTCTTGAAATGACTTCTCATAAAAAAGATTTTACCTTAAAGTTATTCTTCTCCTACTGTAAACAATATAAAAAGATTTAAATTATTTTCGTTAAATATAATTATTGAATTTTAAAAATGATTTATCTCTATTTTTAGGTGTACCGGATCCCATAACTCAATGTACAGTTGATTCATCAAATGTAACTGTAACAATAAGTTGTCAGAAAAGTTATGCTCAGGGTGATAATGAGAATTATGCATGTGTATTATATAAATATAATTATAAAAATAAACAAAGCCTATTTGAAGAAATAGCTCGAACAAAATCTTGCATATTTGCATTAGAAAATTTTCATGAACCTGTTGAATTTCGTGTTACTGCATTTAATCGTTATGGTCTATTGTCACCGAATACATTTGGTTATATTATTCAATTAAATCAACCAAAAGGTAAATAACTAAACTAAAACAAAAACCAATTGTTCTTACTGAATAGATTCAATTTGTTTTTGTAGGACAAAAGAAAACATCATTTTTTAATAAAAAAATTCTTGTTATTATTGGTTGTATATTTGGTGGTGCAACTTTATTCTTTTTTCTTTGTTGTCTTTGTGGTACATGTCATTTTGATCGAACAAAACTTGAAAATAGAAATAATCTTTATCAAAAAGATAGTAAGTACTATTTTTGTGTTTGTTTATTTGATTGGTTGGTTTTTGAAATATTTATTTCACAATACATTATTTTTCACGGATATTCAGCATTACCAGTGGCAAGAGAACATTTTCGTATTGTTTCTGTAAATCAGATTCAATCTTCTTCTTCGCCTCTTTCTACTATATCGTCGACGTAGGTTTTTAAACTAGACATTGAAAAGAAACCGACATCAAATGCATGATTTTGTGCATGTTTTTTTTTTTCTTTTGTGCTATTATATATTTTATTTTATTTGACCAAAATGAAATCAATTAGATATTATTGAAGACAAAAAATAAATTTATTTATTTATTTATTCATATAGAATATCCCCGCTCGTCGACCGAGAGCGAAGCATTAAAAACAATGAATGGTAAATTTTCTTTTATTTTATTTTTTAAATAATACTTTTTTATTTAATGATTTCAATTTAATTTAAGACGATACAATTTCACAGTTAGTTCCAAATGGTGGTGATAAACATCATCATCAGGTTAGTTTACAAGTTTATTAAATTTTCTTCTCCTCTATAGAATAAAAACCCATCCTATTCAAACAAACGCAAAATCGTGATGTAAATCATCGAATAGATAAGTTCATTGCTTTTCGGTGTTTAGTTGTATTTTCTTTGGTGTATCTAATTTCGTTTGTTCGACTTGTTTTCTATTAACGAAAAAAATGTGTAGACATGGACATCAATCAAAGACAACTGTTTAGGAACTGAAGAATTGGACAAATAAACATGCATTAATATAATTCTGTTTGAAACATTCATAAAATCTGAACTATCTATTTTTTTAGTAGTAAAAAGTTTACTTTACACTTCTTTCAAGAGCATTGAAAAGTCTCTCATTCTGTTTCTGAACTTTATAAGCTTCAAAGATAACAGAGTTGTGTAGAAGTTTTTTCTCAACTTCTTCAAAGTTTGATAGTTTCTCAAAGGAAAGTATCACAATAATCACAGACGAACATGTGAATGAGAAAAATAGTGTAATAAACACATTAGTCAGATTATCTGATAACAAGGAATTGGAAAAGTATAGAAGTCAATTTTTCGATTCGTTGGCAACTATTAGATTGCTAGTTTATTTTTCTTTTCTTAGAATGGAGCTGTTTATGATATTCCTATTCATTTAAATGGTAAATATTCTCATAAAATGTCTACTCCAACATCTGTTTATCATCAACAAAAGTCTCAACAATCAACTAATCTTCATTATATTGATCAAGATTCAATAACAAGTAGTCTTAATTCAATACCTACACGAGCACGTACATTTAATAATAAATTTTATGGTAACCCATTAATGAATAATAAATATGGACCATTATCACCATCAAGTATGATTGTTCCCGGAAAAAAAGTAAATTCTAATAATGATGAAATTATTGAAAATGATGAAGAAGAAGAAGATGAATCACCAGTTTATTCAACAACAACAGATGTTATGTCTGAAAGTGGTTCATTTCTTGTTCCAACATCATCAACAAAACGTCGTGCACCACCTCCACCTAAACCACGTTATTCAACATTAAGTTCTGTTCGTTTACCACTTGAAAATTCGGATAAAGTTCCATTACCATTACCTAAACCCCGTTCACGTTCAAATTCACGTACACGTTTAAATAATGGTAGTTCAGATAACTCATCATATTTATATGAAGAACGTCCTGTATCATCATCAGATTCTGGTATAGGTCCATCAGATGTTGTTTGTTTACCTAATGGTGATACAATACGTTCAGGTCTTGTTAAATCAAGACAAAATAGTCTACAAAAACATTATGCTCATCCACCATTTTTTCAGCAACAAACAAAATGTGAAACATTAACATCGCCTATTGTTCGTGGTACTGAATGTTGAAAATGTTTTGTTTTTTCTTCTTTTCTTTGTATATATATATTATGTATGTGTATTGATTGGTATTATTCGATTGTACCAGCTGAATACAGTATTGAAAAAGGACGCAAAAGTACACTTGTTATTGTCATTGGTATACGCATTTGTAAGGGTTTTTTTTAATATTGTATTTCTTTCTTTGTTTCCTATTGTTGATTAGTTTTTTGTTGATACTTATATGATATGATTTATTCAGATTTCCTGTTTTTTTTTCTTTTGTTTGTACTTGTATAAAACAAAACAAAACAGACAAACATGAAAACTCAGATTTGAATCAATGGATAACAATAACCTTGATGGAAATATATACATATCAAAGAGATGATATGATGATTGTTCGAGTATCTGTCTTCTTTTTTTGTAGAACAATGGTCGATCCTTATGATTTTGTAGCTTCACCTCCAACTATTAAATCTAAACAAACACGTAAAAAATCAATAATAAAAACTTCTAAGAAAAGAAAATCAAATGAAAAATCACGACGAGTATCAATTCGGCAAACAAATAGCAAACTTCATATACCTACAAGATTGAATATACATGATACAGATCATTTAATTGATATGCATGAAAAAGAAAATAATCCTAATCAAGGTTTTACACAATTAATTGAAACAAAAATGATGGAAGTCAAAAAACGACAAGGCAAACGTACGAATAAAAAAGTGAAGATAATAACAGATGATAATCATTCTCCATTAATAATGAAAAAACGACAACAATCAGGTAAATTTAAAGATAAAATTTTATTTTTTGACTAATTCTGCTTTTTTATTTTTATTTTTTATTAGAGATTGAAGATAATTCTGATGTAATACCCACATCAACTGAAAAAGGTATTTTATAAATCATCGTAAAGATTTTTAATAATTTCAATTTTTAATTAGATTCAACATGTAACAATTTTCCACCGAGCACAACCGACGAGCATGTCAATGTAGGTACAACGAAAATAGCAAATCCTCTTCCATGTGAATCAAAAGGTATTATACATATAAATTTCTATTGAATTGAAATTATGAAATCATCTATCTAATCTAGATCATTATCTAGTTTTGGCAAACAAACGACGTCGTGCATGTCTTTGTTCAAGTAACATTTTTACATATCGACTTTAATTAGACTTTCGATTTTATTGTCATTTAGAAAGACAATTAGACGAACTTGAATTTGCTTCAGATAATGTTCCGTCACAAACACAATGGCAACAAAACGAGGAGGAACAATTACAAGAAAAGTCTCATTTAGTAGACCCGATTTTAAATTCTGTTAATCATTCTCCACTTCCTCTTCTTCTTCCATCTTCAATTTTAATACCACCTTCAACTTCAACATTTACTCTTCCACCTGTTCAATCAGTTTCAATAAATCAACAAGAAGAAGAAGAAGAAGAAGAAAATCAATTACATGTATCATCTATTATGGCTGCTCCTCTTTCACCCGCAATGCCTCTCAATTCAACCTACATTGCTCGTCGATCGATTCCGATAATAACACAAATACCATCAGCATTACTTACTTTATCCACAGTAATTCCTGGAAATACAACAACTATTTCAGACAATGCACCATCACGATTAACATCATCTATCGTTGAACATTCAAATCTTGAACAAAACAAATCTGATCATATGTCTTTATTAGCACCAATTAAAACAATTTCTAATCGACAAGATCAAGAAACATCAATGACACCAACAGATGTTCAAACAATAACATGTTCCGTATCAACACAAACTAGTGATGATGATGATGATAATTATTATCCAACTCATCATCCATGTAATGATGTTAGTTTATGTCCATGTGTTCAGATCTATACACGCTCTGAGCAATTGTTTATGGCTAGCATGTCAATATTCTTTCGTAATTCAATAACAGTAACACCTCCAGAACCATTATTAACAATAATTAAGAATAGAAAAAAAAAGAATGATAAACGACAACAAATAAATCATCCAGTTATATCTCCTCCTCAACCAATTCCTTTAATTAATGACATTGAAATTCCAATTCAAATCGAAACACATACAGAGAAACATGTAAGATAACTATTAGAACAGTAATCTTGAATATTTGTTTAACATTCTTCAATAGGATAATATTCAAATTAATCAAACATACGTAACTACCAATCATAACGATATTATTCCTTCGATCGAACCTGAACCTCAACAATTATCATCACATGTTTTACTCGATACATCGACAGTAATTAATGAAACTCGTAATGATAATTCAAAAAAATCTGATGGATCATCTATACAAATTAATATTAATGCAAAAGAAGCATTAAATAAAAAATCACATGAAGAAAATTCATCATTAAAATCTTTTAATGATCAAGAAAAATTTAAGTCATTAGTATTAGCAATGACAGCATTAAAAGATGATCAAAAAGTATAAATTTGTTTTTATATTTCAAATATTTAAGATATATATATATATATTATTTTGTTTTCAGATTGTATTTAATCGTTTTATTGAGTATTTTTCTGTTCGTTCATCAGCATCAATCGATGAAACAACAACGCATTTAATAACTGATGAAGATGATGAAAATTCATTAAAATGTCCATTAACTGGCAAAGTATTACAAGCTGTTGCACGTCATCTTACAATCGTTTCTTATCGATGGTTAAAAGCATGTTTAAATGAACAATGTTATGTCGATGAAATTCCAACATATGAAATCATTGGTGATACAATATATAATACACATTATGGTATGTCTCATTCTCGATTAAATAATTCTAATAATTATCGTCTATTAGCAAATTATGCATTTCATTTAAAATGTCATGGTTGTCAACCATTTATAGATAATCGACCATTAATTGAACTTATACATTTATCTGGTGGTCTTATACTTAAAACACTTAATCAACATATTGATAATATTGGAAGACAAATTATAATTTTATGTTCAAAAAAATATCTTCAAAATAAACTAGCATTACAACAAGCTTGTCAAAAATTGAATATTTTTTGTATTGAGCCAGAATGGCTAATTGCTAGTATTGTCAAATTTGATATACAACCATATGAACCGTGGCTATGTACTTTATATTCATAATTTAATTTATATAGAACTGTTTTTGATGTATGTATACATTTATATTATTCATTGAAATTATCATTTTTTGTTTATATTATATATTAATTTTATTGTCAAATAAAAGAAAACCAAATAGATAATAAAGAGTAAAATATAAAGTTTATATACTAAAAAAAAAAATCACATCGTATCATATTTAGAACTCTATTTTTAACTTGTATTCCGCAGAGATATTCGATAGGCATTGAAATGTCTATAGAGTGTATCTTGAAGAAAGAACCGAATTGTCATTTATTTACTAGCTACAATTGAATTTGAATAAGATTTAAAAGCTATTTTCTATATGGAAATCAAAGTCTGAGTACTCCACAAGCAACTTGTGCATATATTCTACACATACCAATACAATCAGTTAATTATTCCTTTGAATAATGGAATATAATCAACAATAAGAAATCTGAGATTTTCATAGTATGAATGCACATACATGTGATACATATTCAGTAAAGAAAAAAGTTTTAACATTTCCCATCACTATTCTCATACAGAAAAGAATATTTTTTTAAAATTGTCACTTAACTTTCTCTGCTATATCCACTAGCTCTCAAATACTACTCGAGAAATCAGCTACTGAAGCTTTTGATATTTGAAATAAGTATAATGTGCTTTAAAAGTTGTTTCTTTTTCTATGTTGTAATAAACATTTTCAATATCACATTAAGATGAATTTAAATATCCAAGATTCATATGGACAAATAAATTACCCTTGAAATCAACAGTTGATGAATTACAATAGAAATTTCGCGTTATTTTTCGATCTTCGTATCGCTGCCTTTTTGTCTCAACTCGTAATCTATACACTATGACTAATGAATTCTCATTAGAGATTTACGCTAAACAATACTTTCAAAGGAGATTAAAATGCATATATACAACGGATCTTGATCTTTCATTCTTCTATAATAATATTTTTTTTTTTGGTATGATTTTCATAAAAGAAAGAAGTATCAAATTTACCAGTTTTTTCGTAGTAATCATGTAAGACACTTGATAGAAAGGCATGAATTGTTTCTCTTAAAAGGGATATCATTTATTAATATAGAGTAGTTGTGTATAAAGAAAAGAACTTGCACACCTCTTTTCTCATCATTTTTTGTTTTGTTCTTGCCCACTTTTTGTTTCTTCTTTTTCTGTCCTTGAAATGCTCATGAGTTCTCTTACACTCACACGAGCAGACTTAACACTCAGCATAATAATATTGGTGGTAACTGTAAAGCGCATTGCACTTCTGTTGTTGTTTAATGCTTAAATATTATAATTTCTCCTTATACTATCATGTAATCACTACCGAGCGCTACATTTACAAACTTAATAATATAATATAAATCTCGTAATGTTGACAATTTTTACAATATCTTTTCTTATCGGTTGTGTCTTCTGTTCTCTTCTGCTCCAAAACTTTTACTTATTCTTTTTCTCTTGGCTTGTTTCTTGAATGTCAAAACGAAACGAAGTGAAAAAATTTTGATGCAGTTCTCGAATATATTCAAGAGAAATGAAAACTCTTACAAACCATCAAAAACACATACTTGAAAGTTTCGTATGAAATGCCCGTGGAAAAAAATTCTGCACATATAGTTACTATTACGACATTGCTTTGTTGTTCTATTTGCGGTATTACTCTTGTTTCTTTTCTCTGTGTAAGAAAAAAATTGCTCCTCTGTGATGAATGTTACTGATGCGTTATCATTAAACACACTAACATAAAGAAAAATAAATTTCAACGGGCATTCATTTTAATAAAACATACTGCTCGAAAGAAACCAATATTAATGTCGGCTAAAAATCGGTCAACTCTTTTGGTATTACCTGTTGAGCTTGTCTATCGTATTTTGGACAATTTGGATGAATTAACAATTTTATATTCAGTTCGTAATGTTTGCGCACGACTGAATGTCATCACTGACACATATCATCGATTCCAGGTAAAATTTACCGTTATCATAGAGTAAAATTCCTATCACCTTTAAGACATTATTCAATTCAACAAATGATTATTATTGGTGCTATTTTACTTGTTGATTCTAGAATAGTAATAGTTTGAGAATAAGATTTTGACTTTTATAAATATTATCTAAGAGAAAAGAATCAATTACGTCATATAAGCCATTGCCAAAGATTTTATTGAGTTTCTTTTTCTCTGCAGTATCTTACTAAAGAGAAAACAAAGTTAATATATTTTAAGAATACACCGAATCTTTTCGTAAGCAATCCTGTTTTCGTACGCTAAACTGTCTCGAAAAACCCACTTCTGCAGATAATTTGAAATTAGAATCATAGGACAAATTTAGCTGAATTTCATAAATTTTGTACTTCTTGAATTTGATACACTAAAACATTTCTAAAAGAAATGAAGCCATCAAAAACAAATAAATATAATTCTCAAAAGCCGTAGACTCTAAGAAACTCTAAGAATTGTTTTTCATCATCATGTCATTTGCTACAAAGCACCACGATCACACTAAAAAAAAAGAGTAACAGAAGATATACGAGCAACTGAGGAGTAGATATTTGGTAAGACGTGCTTAACCTTACTGTTCTTTTCATGGTGTTCACTCCTCCTTTCGTTCTCGTTAGACAAGTCCACTCATCCTTGCTTGTGATCGCCTTCACATAAAGCGTCCTTTTGCTGGCATAATGTATTTTTCGAGACATAAAACAACAATGACCATACTTTATTCCCCTCAAAGACAACGCATGAAAGAGAATCTTGCTCACCAATCTCTTGTCAAATACCTTACTAACCAAAAACTCCCTATCCATTCCGCATCCTCATCGTCACCACTTTTCACATAGACACTCAACCTTGGTGTGAATAAAATCGGAGACGAAGGAATAAGACATCTGGCCGATATTCTCACCAACAGCACGGTACAAAATCATTCTCGACTCACTAATTTCTTCATTATCTTTACTTTGAACTCAGACGCTCACCACACTCTACCTTGCGTGGAATCAAATCGAAGAAAAAGGGGTACAACATCTCACCAATGCTCTCGCCACCAACGAGGTAAAACACCATTCTCCACTCTCTAAAAAAAAAGGAGGTTTGCCGAACCCCTCGAAAAGGTTCTGTAGATTTCTAAAAGCATCCAAATGTGTCGAAAGTCTCAAAAAAAGGATAAAAAATTCGACAGAACCTTTTGAAGGTTCTGTGTAGTACCCACTAGCAGAACCATCTCTTGCAGAACCATTTTTTTAAGTTCTGTACAGGAAAAAAAGGTTCAGTGAGAAAATACGAAACCTTAAGGGNGAAGAGATTCAACTAACTAGAATTTTACAGAAAGATAGGAACTCATTAAACAGTGTTAAAGAGAATAATACATATTGAATACAAAGAAAAGAACGAAAAAGAGTGATTGAACTGAAACACACTAAAATGACAGAAAATATGGATGGAATGTGCATGAGTAAAAATATCAACAGAAGGAAAAGAAAGAAGAAATGTACCATTATGGTACCATCTAACAAATGATAAGAAGCTTTTCTAAACGGTTAAAACATATACTACTACGGCTCTTATCCGATAAATACATTTGAACACATATATGTGCTGCCGGGAGCGAAAGCGTTAAATAATTGCTATAAACAATGTGTTTTTTTTGTGACCCTGTAACACCTTTTACTTGTAATTGATATCAAGCAAATGTTTCTCAAATCTTCATTCTATTTTTCATTCTGCTTAAGAAGAAACTGTTTCAATAAGATCATGAGTTAGTTTTATTTCTAATATATCCGAAATATTTTATATTCGATATTTTCAAGTAAATATTCACGTTTTTATACATTTTTAACTTCATAGGCAAGTGCTAACAATGTAACGACGGCAACAACAATTAGATGAATTTAATATATTTTAGCAGTGAATTAAAGATCATCAGATGCATGCCTGTAGGGAATTGATTTCTGTTTTTGGTTTCTCAGAGAAACTTACTATACACCATCGATCGTGTACAGAGAGAACACTTGAGTACCTGTGAAATATATTTGGTATTTAGAAAGCCACGTTGAAAACTGGCTATTTCATCGATATTAAATCGACTGTCGTTTGAGGAAAGTTTGCTTTCATGATCTGAGATTCTTCACATTTATATTGTGGAGACATGGTTCAAGCATTAAAATTAAGTCTTAAGTAATTAGGCAAATAGTTGGATCAAAACCGTAAAGAAAATATGGATCAAGGTAATACATTTTCTTAAATTTTGTTTATATTCTTTTGTTCTTTAGTTTCAGAACATCCACTTTTAGGTTTGAAGTATCTGATTATGAAACGTTACAAACACTTCAAAAAGTTGTTATTGAACCTTGTAAATAGTCTTAATGAATCTATAAGTGATTATACAGCTTTCACTGCCTAATCTTATTATTATTTGTTTTAGAAAATTGTTGAAGTCTTGCCAATAATACAAATGCGAATAATTAGTAATATTAAAAAATCACTCCATCGTTATTCGATGCAATACACTTACTAAGAAGAATTCACAAGCTGAAGCTGTCAGAGATGGAATTGGTTCGCTTCAAACTTTCTAAAAATTGGGGTCTGTTTGAGTCGTTTTCAAAAAAGACACGAAACAATCTTATCTCTGGAAGTTATGAGTATCTTAAGTAGATCGTATGGAATTTTCAAGATAGAAGATCCAGCAAAATTACAAGCTTTATTAGAGGTAATAATTTGGCTTATCATTCAGAAATAAAGATCATTTTCCTTGTCATTAGCTGCCAAACGACTTTTAAATGAATATATATTGAACAATCAAAAATTATTAAGGTATATTTTTCTGAGTGCAATTTTATGTAAACTAGAACTAATTAAAATGTATTAATTAATGTATATAATTTATTTTCGTGCATAATTTTCAAATTTTGTTAATATTAATTTTTTGTTTTTTTCTCATTATGTAAAATTTATATATTTATTAAAATAAATAAAAGAAACTAAACTATGAAATGAGTATAAA